GAGTTCAAATCTAGCCTCAAACACTAGCTGTGTGACTCTGGGTAAATCACTTTACCTCTTTATGCTTTAGTTTCCTCATCTGTAAAATGGGAATAATAATAGCACCTGCCTCCCAAGGTTGTTGTCAGGATCAAATGAGGTGTAAATCACTTAGCACAGTGCCTGTCACATAGTAAGCACTATATAAATGTTAGCTATTATTATTACTGTCATCTTTAAAGAGATGCACCTGGAGAATGGATAGGAAATCCTACTTGGACTTGTACAGAGCATATCTTCCATGACAATGGTAAATATCTTTGGTAGGTGTGTCTCCTTTTGTGTATTTCTTTGATGTTAACTAATGATCTTAGAATATCTATGTAAGACACCCAGTTTGAAGACAGCCTTTAAGGATACATTTTACCCTAAAAAACAAAAGAGTAGGAATATTAGCACTACAGCCCAACTACTTAGGTAGCTAAGGAGTACTGGGATGTCCTCTGTTTCCCTCCCTCAAAAACTCAATTTTCCATTTTTAAAATGTGAAAATATGATTTAATATGTGGAATTTTGTTTTATAGCCAATTTTGCTAGAATTATTCGTATGGGACACTCTTACTGCTAGCCCAGGTGTATCATCTCAAGAGTAAACATTTATTGTTTATATAGGACTTAGAAAGATTGTGTCAGGATACTATTAGGAGACACCTTGTTTTCCAGAGCTAAGGTCCAGCAAGTAAGCTGTGCCCTGAGCCTGACATAAGAACAATCTTCGTGCTCACCCTCTGGATGAACTCAGTCACAGCAAAACCCCAGAACTGTTTCACACCAGCAGCAGGTGTTCCCTGACCTCAGACAAGCACCTGCAGTACCTATGTCCCAGTCATGAAACCCTGTTATGAATCAAACTTGTTTCATTGTTGCTGTTACCCCTCACTGTCAGGGCTACAGCTCACTGCGTAGCCATTGTAACATATACTGAGATTTACCCACACTAAAGCTAGGCCCCTATTGGATGGGGCCCCAGCTGATGTGTCTGGTTTCCTTCCTCCAATGGAATAAAGAAAGCTTTTTGCTTATGATCACTATTAGTTCTTTGGTTTTATTTTGTTATTTCAGAGTTAACTATGGTTGTGATAACCTGTGTGAGCTCTGGTTCCCCCCCCTCCCCAAGCGTTAACAGGGGTTGCATAACCTCTGTGACTCTGGACATTTGTGATCAGGGTTAACAACAGCACTCCATAAGATTATGAACATCCCTCCCCAACTCCAATAACAATGACTATTAGTTGCAGCTGTGACAGAGAAAATCTAGTTGCTATGGCTAAACCTGCCAACCTAATGCCTAACTCCCTACCTCCATGAAGTCAACTAGATCAGCTCATCTCTGATACTGGCAGTTCACAATTGTCTTAGTACACACAGTTACCACTTGATAACCATGTTGTTATATGCTATGACTACACAACGATCTACCAAGATATTTAACCAGTTTATTAATCATTCAATCTTCACAGCTATTTCATCAGTTTATGACTAATTCATCCTTTAAATGAGGCTTAAATATAACTACTTCCCTTATATGAGTAATTTATGTCAAGCAAGGGTTAAAGAATGTGGATTTCATTAACTTTATGCTCCATGACTCTTTTGGAGGAAGTAAATACACAGAACCCAGGGAGAATTTTAAAAATTCAAAGATATATCAAAACACCTCTTTATTGAAATAATTTCTATTTAGGTTATTCAATATGTTGAAGCCTATATATAATGTATTTCTAGGAACAATGAAATGGCCGTTGAAAAGGGAATTATGATTTTTATATTGATATATGTAATGAATATATTAATAATTTAGTTTTCTCAAGAGCTGCCTCGGGAGTCAAGAGCTCACAGTGCAGCTTGAATTGATCAAACCTTTGACAATGCTCATCATCACTGGACCTTAAGTGAAGTGAATCAAAGCTTGTGGAACCTGCTCCTGTCACAAAACTCTGGTTCTGTGCCCTTGGGCAGGTGATCATGACCCCCAAAAACTTGAGTCTGGAATTGCTGGACTGTGGGATTTGTGGGTTTCTCATCAGAAACCACTAAATGATTGTTTGTAATCCACCTTCCCCCCTCCTTCCTCACCTGTGATTTAAGTATATAACCTGTGCTTTTACTTCAGCTTACAGAACATTTCTCAATCAGAAACTGATTAATAAAACTACTACTTGATTACTGGCACTCCTGACTCTAGGCCTTCTTTGTGCAGCTCCGGGCATGCTCAGGTTAAAGACTGGCTCAGTAAAAATCCTGTTAACAGTGTGCTTTAAAGATATACTAGGACTCAGAAGTATAAACAACTTAGGAAACCAGGTAGCTCAACCTCTTCATTTTACTAATGAGGAAACTGAGTCCCTTCTGAAATTCAGCATCTAAATGGGGAATCATGATGGAATATAAACAAAGATCACTAGTTGGGAAGTCAGAAGAGATAGGTTTAAGTTTTATTTTTTGTGCATCCCCCCATCCTGTCCATTACTCCCCCCCCCCAACACACACATCCAACAGTGGGCACCTCTTTTGTGTGTGGGTTACACTATAAGGTCTCTGAGGTCCCTTCAAACTCTTAAAATTCTATGACTCTCCATAGAACCTTCTCTTCAAAATGGTAAGCAAAACCATTTATTATATCAATTGCAACTGACAGCACAAATAACTTTCTATGCTTGTAGTTCACCATTTCTTAACAGAAAAGGATGTGTTTTAACTCCAGTATCTGGAGCTAACATTGGCCACTGGAATTATATAATCCTCTACTGTAGTCTTTGTTTATGTCATTGTGGTGTGTATATCCTTTTAGTTCTGCTTTCTTTGCTCTGCATCTGTTCACATGAGACTTCTCATGTCTGAATTCTTCATATTATTACATTATGGTACTATTATATTCTAGTTATCTATCACAATTTGTTTAGTCATTCCCCAATCAACAGGCAACAAAACTGGTTTCCAGCTTTTTTCTTCGCGTTAGTGCTGCTGTTGTAGACAAAGGATCTTTCTGTCATTCACTTCTTGAAGGCATAAACCCAATGGTAGGATTGCTGGACCAAACTGTACGTATGAACAATTTAGTAAATTTTCTTGGACAATTCCAAACTGTTTTCCAGGACCAGTACAGATGTATTCACAGCTCTACCAACAATGCATTAGTGTGCCTATCTCCCATGAACCTTCAAATTTGACTACCATTTTTTAACCATCTGACAAGTTGATGACAGTGAGCTGACAACTCATAATTGTCTAATCTACGTGCTATTATTTGCAATTTGTAGTATTTTTCATATAGCATTGATAGTTTTAATTTCTTTTAAACCTGTTGTTCAACAGTCTCTAATTAAAAAACAAATCTCTGAAGCATTTTTCAACAATAAGAAAGCTGCCTTTTCAAAACAATTTGTAACTATAAACCATCATCAGGCAAACTCGTCAATTACATCTCCACAGCATTTCTACCATTGGCCCTCTTCTCTCCAATAGCGGCCACCCTCCCTCAGGTCCTCATCACCTCTCCCACACTACTGCAATCAAGTCCTAATTAGTCCCCCTGTCTTTGTTCTCCTCTCTCCAATTTATCCTACACACAGCTGTTTGGTTTTTAAAGCCCTTTCCTGGCCTTTAAAGCCCTACATAACCTGGCCTGCCCTCTGCTACCGACCACTCTTCTCGTGCTTTACCCCCTCTACACGTACTCTATGACCCAGTGATGCTAGCCTCCCTGCTGTTCCTGGAACAAGACCTATTCCACCTCTCCACTGCTCATTCTCCCCAGTTTTCTCCCTAGCCGTGAATGCTCTCCCTCCTGGCTTCCTTCAGGCTCCACCTAAAACCCCACCACATTATGCACGAAGTCGTTCCCAACCCCTATTACGTGCTAGTGCCGGTCCTCTGAGATTGTCTTCACTTTATCCGGTATGTTACTTGTATGTACGGTTGCTTGCATGTTGTCTCCCTCATCAGAATGGAAATTCCTTGAGGGAAGGGCCTGTTTTCGCCTCTCTCCCCAGTGCCTAGCATAGTGCCTGACACGGAGTAAATGCGTAATTTACACGCCGACTTGACAACTATCAACGTGATAACATTCATCCCCTCGGCTCAATAAACTCCAGCGCTCCCTACCCCCTCGCTAGGACCAAACACAAACTCTGGTCTCCGGCCCCGAGGCGCCCCTTCCCACCTTTCCTACCCCCTCGGTACGTACCGGTCTCCCAACCATGCCTCCCACCCGACCCTCCGTCTCCGGGCTCCAAGCCTTCTCATGCCTCCTCGCCTCTCCCTCTTGTAATCGCTAGTTTTCTCCAAAGCTCGGCTGCAGGGTCCCGTCTCCATGAAGTTTTCCCCGCTCCGCTGGGATGCTAGGGCTCCCCTCCCCACACTATCCCGTCTGCGATGCACGGCCGCGGCCGAGGCCGCCCCCGCCCCGAGAATGGAAGCTCCTCGGGGGCAGGAACGACTTCGCTTTTGTCTTCGGCTCCCCGGAGCCCGACCCGGCGCCTGCCAGTGGCTATTTAACAGACGCTCGTCGACTGATGCAACCGGACGGGTCCTTCTATTTGGGAAATTAAAGACTCCGCCCCCCCCCTTCGGTCCCTTTGACAACACTCGTGTTAGTGGGTACGGAAGGGCCCCTCCGGCCCCGCAGAGCACGGCTTCGGGCCCGTCTCGGCCCTTTCCACGGACGCGACAATTTTGGATTTTGCCCCCGAGAACTTCGCCCTCGCTCCCCCGCACGCACCGACGGGGCCCCAGACGGGAAGCCCTCGAGGGCCAAGCCCGCCGCCGGCCCGGGCCGAAGTCTGCGCCTCTCGAAAAGAAACGGAAACAAAGGGGCCCGGGCCCCGACGGCGCGACGGCCGCCGCCTGTCACAGCCCCCGCCCCCCGCCGGGGAGGAGGCCGAGGCGCCCCCGAAGCCCCGGGACGGGGGAGGGGGCGCGGGCTGAGGGGGAGCCGCCGTCGCCGCCGCCCCCACACACACCTGATGCTCCTTCACCACCTCGCTGAGGCAGGGATACCGCTCCGAGATCCACCGGTAAAACTTGGGGACTCCCATATCGACCGTCACCGACCCCGCTTGCAGCCGTCGCCAAACCGAAACCAAACCCCCCGCCCGGGCC